GCTCTGAGTCCACCCTGGCAGGGAGAATGTAGAAGAGCAGATTAGAGAAAGGGAATAGAGTAGGGACAAGGGTGAGACTTGCCTGTCACAAGGATGCGAACTTCACAGAAGCATACTTCATCCAACTAGACCCCACCTCAACTTCTCACCACCTCTTGATAATGCCATCAATTAATGAATCTATCATGGGATGAATCCACTCATTAGGTGGTCAGAGTCCTTGTGATCTAATTCACTCTAGAGATGCCATCACATTCACTCCCAGAGGTGTGCTTTGCTAATTCCCTAACCATATCAAAGTCCAATCAATTTGACAACCTAAATTGACTTGAGGTTTCTCTTTTCTTCTTTATCATATCTAGCTAATTTTTTCAAATATTTTGATAGTTTCTGAAGAATGGGCTTTCCATTTCATCCTTTCTCTCTATTGTTCTATTCTCTAGTTATCTACCTCTCCTCTAATCTAATCTATTATTTTCTTTCTTCTGATACCTTTGAATTTAATTTGCTCTTTTTCTAGTTCCTTAAGTGGTAAATGGAAGCTGACTCTTATTTAATGCAAGCTTTTATACTTGTAAATATTCCCTTAGCATTTCATGCTTTGCTGTATCTCATTAATTTTTATAGGCCACATTTTAATATTTATTTGTCTCTAAGTTTTTTTTTAATTCCCTTTTAATGTTGCTTTGATTGTTGACTAACAATATGCTGTTTAATTTCTACAAAATTGTGACTACTCCAATTTTCCTTGTTACTGATTTTGAACTTTATCTCATTGTGGTCAGAGAAGGTACTTATATGATATTTACCTTTTAAAATCTATTGAGATTAAATTTATGGGATCCATATAGTCTATCCTAAGAAATAACTGTGTACTATGAATTAAATACATAGTGTGTACTCTATTTATCTAATCCTACATACTTGGAAACAGAGATAAGGGAGTCAGGGTTCAAGACCAGTCTAGGCAAAAAGAAGTCTATGAGATTCCATCTCTACCAATGATTGGGTATGATGCTGTATGTCTGGCATCCCCAAAAATACAGGAAAGCATAGATAGCAGGATCACTGCCAAGAAAGATGTCAAAGGAACCTGAGACATGCCATCTTAAACAAAAGTGATATGTAACCTGAGGGCCAGTTTTGTAGGTCTGAGTTAACTCAGTTATTAAAATGTAACTGAACTGTAGCTGTTTGTCAGACTTCAGTGGCCTGGTGGGAGAAACCCTCACCTTTGATCACAGAAGCTCTGAGGGTACTGAGAGTATAAAAAAAAAGTATTTGTTCTCTCTAGGAGCCTAACAAAACATATGTACAGAGTATTCAAAATTTGCTTACATGTATGTTTGTCCCCACTCTATCTCTGATTTTCTTCTCACGCACTGTGCTCTCTGAGTCAGGACACATTTCTTGATTTTCTTTATGAAGCACATATATAATGTACAAAGCATGATATATCAGTTCTTTAAGCCAAAAAAAGGCCGTCAATTTTCTTTATTGATCTTTTGTACTGGTACTGGGGTTTAAACTCAGGCCCTCACACTCTCCCTAACTTTTTCACTCAAGGCCTGTGTTCTACCACTTGAGCCGAATCTCTACTTCTGAGTTTCCTTATTTAAGATTTCTCTTTTTAAAAATTTTTATTACAAAGGAGATTTACAGAGGAGTGACCATTTCATAAGTCAAGAATAAGTATGTTTCTTTGGGCAATGTCACCCCTTCCTTTGCTCTCTCCCAGTACTTCTGGTATATTTATTAATTGAAGACAAGAGTCTCAGGGATTTTTTTGTGCCCAGGCTGACCTTAAATCTTGATTATCAGATCTCAGCCTCCTAAAGAGCTAGGATTACAGGCATGGGCTATCAGTGCCCAGATCAATTTTATTTTTAGATGGAAACTGAATTGAAATGTTTAAACCCTGAAGAATACAATACAATAGTAGATAGCGTAGGGCTATACATGTTACTTTATTTCATTTTTATGAGGAATATCTGCAGGAAATTTACTTTACATCCCCGTATTTACAAATAGAAAACTGAGATTCTGATATAGGAAACCCTTTCAAGGGTCAGGTGCATTTAAAGATTTGAACTAATTCCTTCTAATTGCAAAACTGATAACTTTAAGGTTATTTTTACTTTTTTTGGTCTAAGACTAGGACTCAAACTCAGAACCTTGTTATCTCACTCATTTGCTAGCACTCTACCAACTGAGCCATGCTCCAACCCAAAAGGGTCAGGTTTTTTTTTTGGGGGGGATCTACAGTTGAAAATTATAATTTAGCAAAGAAAACAATGAGTGATAAAACCACTCCCTGTGGTCATTCTAGGGTAAGAGGAAAAAAGTCAAGGCCAAGATGGCTTTTCAAAGAGGTCCTAGCATTTTTCCCTCCAGCTACGGCTGCTTCTCTATGGTCACAACTCAGGATGCTATAATCTTAGACCTCAATAGTTAGCTCCAAAATGACCTGTGTGCTCTACCACCTGCAGCTTTAGAACTAGGTTCATCTGCCTTCTCTACCATTGCATCCCAGCACTTAACTTGGGGACTGAAGCATAGTCAATAAACATTGTTGGAATCTGCATAAAGAAACATGAGGAAAAGCTAGGTTCCTGACCTCCCTCCCTCTGCATCATGTACTCTAGGCCAGCTCTGCCTGCCACACAGGAAGTGAGTCATATATAGGATCCACTAACCTCAATCAGATTCTCTGTAATCTTCACTAGTGAGAAGAAGGACAGCTGAGAAAAATAAAGACCAACGACATTTGTGTTTCAGAGAATGAGGACAAAAGGTAAAAAAAAAAAAACTCAAGAAAAAACAAGTAGCAAAAAAGAAAAAAGTTATTAAGGAAGGAAAAACCATAAAGGAAGGAAGACTGTAGAGAAAATAATTAACTAATGATCAAACAAATATAAGTTACACAAGCTAATCCTCCTGAGTATGGTAGTACATGACTGCAATCACAGCACTTCAGAAGTGGAGGCAGAGAATTATGAGAATGAGGCCAGCCTGGACTACATATTGTTTTGAAACAATAACCCAAGAAATAAAAATAACCTACAAAGACATGTTTAAAGGGAACCATTTCCCCCTTTCTTCTCCCTCCTCATTGTTCTCCATCTTTTCCTCCTGTTTCCTAATCTAATTTCCACAAGACCTAAGAACTTCTGCCCAGTAAGAAGTAGTGGACTTGTTACTCGACAGAGGTGAGGTTTAGTGAAGCTCCCCTTAAAATATAGGAACTCTTCACTTAGGGTTCTTGACTTCAATCGCAGAATAAGAACTTCTGGACAAGTCACAATGGTAAGAAAACTTGGCAGAGCTTTATTAAGTAAACAAGCAAGGAAACAGACAATAAAAAGACAAACAGAAGGGCAGGGGCACACTCTAGCAGAGTGTGGGTGCTCTCATAGAAACACAAAGACACAGACACACACATGGAGACACACACGAAGACACTCAGAGAGACACACAGCTCCTTGGCCTGTTGTGTATTTATAGGGTAAAGGCAAGGGGTCTGACTTTAAGTTGTGAAATGCTAGGTGCTTTGTCTTTGCATTAACTATACCTGGTATTATTCTCTGAGTTTCCAGGTAAGAATGCATCCTGCCATAAAACAGATCCTTATCCTTGAAACAACGAAACACCCTACTATCTGCATTTCCTGCATCCTGTCAGGAAATTGTGAATTCTTGGGTGAGAAATGCATCCCTTAGGAAAGAATGCATTGAGTTGCCAATCTTTGAAGCAAAGATAACATTTCTAAGTTTCTAGACACTGTATTTCTGAGTTGCCTACACCAAGCCTCAGTTTCCATAAGTTATCCTGCTTCATTTCCCCCAAAAGGACTTTTGTTCCCTTAATCTTAAGGGAAGTAGTGAAGGAACATCTCCTGTATTTGCTGTTAGCTGGCCATACCTCATTTTTCCTAGTCTATTGGGCTTCAGAGTCTTGAGATAAGGGAAAACTTGAAGGGCTTGTCATATTCAAACTAATCATATATAGTATGTGTGTTTTGCATTGATTATAATTTAATATGCATTGATCATGATTCATGAATATTAGTTGCATTCTAAAGGAAGACAGAATAAAATGTCATATTTACTTATGGGACAGAGTTGATGGTGACTACATCTTGTATGTACCAATAAGACAATAGAAATTAGCCAGGTGCTGGTGGCTCACGCCTGTAATCCTAGCTACTCAAGAGGCTGAGATCTGAGGATCCCAGTTCAAAGCCAACCCAGGCAAGAAACTGTCAGACTCTTATCTCCAATAAACCACTCAGAATACTGGAAGTGGTGCTGTAGCTCAAGTGGTAGAGCACTAATCTTGAGCTGAAGAGCTGAAGGACAGTGCCCAGACCCAGAGTTCAAGCCCCACCACTGACCAAAAAAAAAAAAAAAAGACAATAGAAATTATTTAGCATTTGATTCCTTTTGAACAAACCACTGAAGTCCAGAGAGTGGCCATCACAATAGACCAACAAGCCCTATATTTGCCATTGGAGAATGCCCCATTCACCAAGGCTACAAGGTAGCACATACATATATTGGCTTTTTCTTCTTTGGTACCCCAAAAAAAGAATCTTCTCTGCTTTAAATCTCCATGTTGAAGATATAAATTGTTCATATGTGTGAGTAGAGAAATGGTAGGATAAAATGTCTTTTCCCCCACACTTTATTCCTTTGGCTGTTTTAAGGGGCCACCTGAGAGTGAGTGGGGGTTGGTGTATTACTCTGTCAGAATTCCTAAAACCCTAAAATTTCAAGTGAAAAAGTAGGTGAAATAGAATCAGCAAGGACACTAGATTCTTTTGAATTCTACTGCAGTGCTTTCCTCTTGCATGAAAAGAATCCATAAAAACACAACCTTGAAAATGAACATGATTTACTTATTCTCCATGTCTCTCTCCTTAACATTGTAATTTCTAAGTTGTTTCCATCCTTGAGACTCCACACTTGGAGAGAAGATTTAGGCCCCATACCACAAAGCCCTCAGCGATAGAATAGAAGCACAGCTGCCTCACTTATTTCCCGACTGCTGCTCCAACCAGTGTGAGTTCCATATCCATTCCAATCAAAAGCAAAGTCTCCACACTGCCGGGGATTACCCTCTGGGAAATATCCTCCTCCACCAATGCAGTGCTGGAAAAGAAGAGAAGAGGAAATGCTAATGACAGATATGATGATGTTACGGTTTTGATATGAAGTAACCTCTCCAAAGGCTCATGAATGAAAGTCTTAGTACCCAATGCTAGCAAGTTATGGGTCTTGGAGCAAGTGACTGGATCAGCAGGAATGTTCATCAATAATTAATCCACTGATAGCTTCAAATTTAACTAGAGATGCACCAGTAACACATGGGGATGTGGGAGGTGGTGAACTGTGGAAGATGGGCTGATCCTATGGATATGTTCTGAAGGGTATCTTGCCCTGGCTTGTTCCTTTCTCTTTCCCAGTTTCCTGGCCACCATTAGGGAAGTAGTATTGGTTCTCCATTGTCCTTATAAAATGGTATTTCTCCCTTGTCATAACCTAAAAGCTATGGAACCTACTGACCATAAACAGAAACCATGAAAACCATGTGCCAAAATAAATTCTCCCTCTTATAGTTGTTTTTTCAAGTATTTGTCCTGGTGATGAAAATCTGACTAATGTAGCTGGTGGCCCAGAGGCATCTGAATGGCCAAATCCAACGGAATCTTTGGTCCTCATCTGACTCTCCATCCATGGTATTGATCTATGCCTCCATTAAAATCTCTCTTCTCCTAGCTTTAGTGATATGCTTTCTCCTCCTGACTTTCCTTCAACTTTTCTGAACACCCATTCTGTTTCCCTGGCTGGTCTCTTCCTTCACATAGTCCTTAAGTGCTACTCTCTAGTAAGGGTCACATCTCCCTCTCCCTTAAAGACTGGGTAGCCCTCTTTGGCTTCAGCTAGTATGGCCTTAATATCTCCAAGTATTTCTTAGGCTGCAGACCCCAAAAGTTCCACCGGCACTTCAGACCTCACATGACCAAAAGATAATTACACCCATATATCATTTAACAAAGGGGATCCATTCTGATAAATGCATGTATGTAAGCCCTAAACAAGGCTGGGAAGGACAAATTTTACTCTGAAAACTGAACAACTCAGGTACAGACTGGTAGTGCTTGCTGTTCTACAGGCCTTCTCAACCCAAGTCTTCCACAGGCTGTTATTGAACACAAGCCCCACCCTACCTCCAGGCACCCCAGTGTTCTATCACAAAGGCTGGGAAAATCACAATGGTGTGTTTGAAGCCTCAACCTTAGATGCTGGGCAGTAGTTCCTATAGCTCCTTTTCCTGAAACCTATCAAGGGATAAGGTCACACTGTGGTGCACCCACATATACACATTGACACCATAGTCATACCATACACACACACACACACACACACACACACACACACTCACACACTCACACACACACCACTAATGACCTCAACATTATTCATAGGTCTCTTTGGTCCCCACAAATACTCACAAATTCAGTATTACATCCTGTGACTCTGATTCCAGCACACAAGGCATTGGCCGCTCTTTCATTATTAAATACTCTAAACTGGACAAATCCTGCAGTGAATTCATCTGAAAACAAAAGACAGAAACAGCAATCAATGGGCTGGGAAGGTGGCACAGTGGTAGAGTGCTTGCCTTGCATGCATGAGGCCCTGGGTTCGATTCCTCAGCACCACATAAGCAGAAAAAACCGGAGGTGGCACTGTGGCTCAAGTGGTAGCCTTGAGCTGAAGAGCTGAGGGACAGCGCCCAGGCCCAGAGTTCAGACCCAATGACCAGCAAAAAAAACAAGAAACAGCAATCAATGAACATGTGAGAAATAACTGTTCTTGGGGCTGGGAATGTGGCTTAGTGGCAGAGTACTCAGCTATCATGCAGGATGCCCTGGGTTCAATTCCTTGATTCCACATAAATAATTAATTAAATTTCAAAAAATAACTTTCCATCTAGCAGAAAAGGTCAGATAGGTTGATGTTAAGAAAATGAACCCTAAGATATGTATTCAAATGTTTTTTTTCTTTCATGCGATTGTTTCTAACACATTTATAAGATTATTTTTTGTTGCTTTGTATGTCCCTCCCCCATGGTATAACCCCTGCTTTCACTGTATTTGATCTTGGTATTATTTGTGGAGGGGGAGGGAAAAACCAAATCATTTAAATAGGGATACAGGTGGACCCATTGCAACAATGAGATATACAAGTCATTATGTCGAAAATGAACTTTACAACTTTGGCGGGGGGGGAGGTATTGGTGGGGAGGATGGGAAGGGATGGGAAGGGGAAACAAAGGAGGATGCTACAATGCTTGATAAGAAATGTACTCATATCTTGCCCATGTAATTGTAATCCTTCTGTACAGTATTTTCACAATAAAAAAACATGCAACACAAAAAAATGAAATAAAATAAAAAATAATTTTCCAAAAACTATCCATGGCAGGATCAACTCAGGTCCAAGAATCAGATACAGTGGTAGAGCCCATCACCACTGTGGCCAATAAGTGTACTGTCCCCGTTCAAATAGGTCAAAGTTAGCATTTTCCCACCCCAAGAGCCTGAGACCTGGTCCTTACAGAGGGCCACAGACCACCAAATGATTGAATGAAGAAATTCAACGCAAGCAAATCATTGCTGAACATCCCCAAGGAATAGTTGAAGCAACTGGCAAGGGTATTCACTCTATCCTTGTTCACATGTTTCTGGCTCTCTTTTTTATTAAAGTCCCACATCCCAAATGTTAGTAATAAAAGCTTTGAATTGTACAGCAGAGATTCGGTCTCTATCAAGGATATTCTGCCAAACTTAGATTTAAATTAAACAAACAAAAAAAACTTTCAACAATGGAAGGAATGGCACTTGATCAAGATCACTGCACTCATAAACGGACGTGTTAGCCGGGCTCCGGTGGCTCAGGCCTGTAATCCTAGCTACTCAGGAGGCTGAGATCTGAGGATTGAGGTTCAAAGCCAGCCTGGGCAGGAAACTCTGTGAGACTCTTATCTCCAGTAAACCACTAGAAAACCAGAAGTGGTGCTGTGGCTCAAGTGGTAGAGTGCTCACCTTGAGCTGAAGAGCTGAGGGATAGCACCCAAGCCCAGAGTTCAACCCCACGACCGACAAAAATAAATAAATAAATAAAAATAAACTGACATGTTAAATTGCAACTACTTGAAGATAATATATAAATAATACATAATTAATATAATATAATATAATTATATATGCCGTTTTGTAATAAAACTGTCCTGTCAGCTGGATGCCGGTGGCTCATGCCTGTAATCCTAGCTACTCAGGAGGCTGAGATCTAAGGATTGCCGTTCAAAGCCAGATCAAGGAGGAAAGTCCGGGAGACTCTTATCTCCAGTAAACCATTAGAAAACCGGAAGTGGTGCAGTTGCTCAAGTGGTAGAGTGCTCGCCTTGAACTGAAGAGCCCAGGGACAGCGCTCAAGCCCAGAGTTAAAGCCCCAGTCATGCACATGATTCTGGCTTGGTCCTAAAAAGGTACTAAGGGAATGATAATGGAAATCTCAGGAGTAAAGTCTGGACTAAATGTCCCCAGTCCAAATACTGACTCTCTTATGTATATGCCCAGTAACCTCAGACCTGCTCCTGACCTTCAGCACTTCAGTTCCTAATCTGAAAATGGGCTGACAGTTCTTCAGAGATCAAGAGCAGTCATGCAAATTAAATGACACCATACATATAACATTCATAGAAGAGTGATAACTACTATCTATTATAACTGAAATTATGAACTATCTTATGAACAATTCAGTAGACTAAGGACTTACTTTTTCCAAGGGGTGAGTAATAAGCTGCTGTTTTCTGGGCATCACCAAAATCATAGACCACAGGTATCGCTGGGCCATTGTCAGTCCAACACCTCCCTGTTCCATATTTCACTGGGTATCTCTACAAGGAACCAAAGAAGTACTCAGTAGGGACAATAGATGTGGCTCTCCTAGGGATGCTGCCGTTCATAGAGAGATGATGTTGCCTCAGCAACTTAATGTCAAAACCAGTTAATGAAGAATCTTCCTCTTTTGCTGCACTTCTCAAACACCTTCAGCCTCTTTAGCTCACCCTCCCTCATCTTTCCTCAGTCTTTATTCTCTCCATTTCCTTCTCCTCCTTTTTCCCACTACTTCATCTTTCTCTTGCCTTTCCTGGCACAGAATTTCCCCCAAAAATGAAATGGAATCATCAACAAGTATGGTTAGGAGAAACATGGAAGAAAGATGCATGGAAAGACGGCACCTGGCCCACCTACACCCATGAAAAACATCCCAGAAAGCATCTTCATGTACCTGGTAGAGTCCAAACAAATTGTGTCCCAGATGCTGGAAGAATCCAGTGAAGGTGCGGTACCTCAGCAGGGAGCTGTTCCTCCAGTTCTGCAGGGGAGTCTTGTTGGGCACATGCCAGATGCCCAGGTTCTGGGCCTGGATTTCAAAGTAGCCAGGGTTCTGGAAATCAATCAACATAAGTCTTTGGTTGTGCATCACCAACACTCTAAACCACTTTCTACTCCTCTGTTTTCGCTTCTCTATAAAAGTTTTACTGTCAAATTCAGATTACATTCAATAGATATAACAGATGCAATAGATATAATTGGTTGTCCTACCACTTTGTCTGTTCTGCTGGATACACACACCAGCCTGGTTCTAAAAAGTTACTGAGGGACTGAGAAATGAAGCTCCATGAGACAAAACATCAACAATAGAGCTTGCTATGGGCATAAAACTAGCTACTCGAGGACATCTCCACTTTCAGCAGATGATAGTTCCCCACCACCCCTTGGGACGAAGGTGAGATTCAAGATCTATACTTGTTAGCAAAATTAGTCCCTTCCCATAGCTTGGTCCACTCCTTCCCTTCTCCACAGCTTAGCATGCTCCCTTCCTAGGCAACACTAGGCCCATGTAGTAAAGGCAGTAAATAATCAGCCTCCAACCCCCTTTACCTTAGGATGGCACTTCTCTGGGGCAGCTACCACCATATAAGGCAGCAAGAGCTCCTTAGAGTGACCTTCAGGTCTGGGCAGTTGTAGGACCCCTTATCTACTATTTGGACAGAAGCCATAAATCCTAGCACACCATAATGAAGCCCCTGGCGAACACATCCACACTAGGGTCTCCACCTCCTAGTCTCTTCTAGCCCCATCTAGCCTCTCCTAAACCCCCTAGGTTATATAGGTCACCCCAGACAATAACCGGTGCTTCTTCTCATTCCTCCCTTGTGAGAAGGAGTCTTGCCAGCCCCTTCTCCCAGCAATACATCTTTCTTTGTTCTGTGTACCTGTATGTCTGAGTGGTTCTCTGGCAAAGTCTATTAATCTTAATTTTGCTTAATTTTGCTTAATTTTGCTTCTGCCACATCTTCATCCCCTTCCTGCCAACCCTCCCTCCTACATATTGGTGGCCCAGCCACACTCAAGTCCTCACACTTGTCCAGCTGGGTAGAGGCTCGCACCAACCTTGTAGTCATCACTTGTGGCTCCCTCTGCAGACCCAAAGGTGTTGTAGTTGGCCCAGTTGCCATCTCCCTCTGGGTAGTCTGCTCTGTTGCCCTGCTGACTGGACCAGCGATCACCAGCTGTGCACTTCCCCGCCATGAAGTTTTCATGTATACTGGCCACCAGGGTCCAGCCACCGCCCCCAGTGGTCATGTCACAGAAGGTCTGGTAGATGGCGCTATTGTTGGTGCGGAGGAAGTACAAGCCATCTGTGGAGAGAGCCAGCCCAGAGCCTCCCTGTCTGCAGGTTCCTGGTCCATCTCATCCCCAAAACCAGAGCACATCTAGGAACTAGAAACATGGCGTGAATGCCTCCTTGACTGAGCTCTGTCACTATGTCCCTGGGAGTACTAGATTTTCCCTGCACTCAGAAGACCATGACCCTGAGACAAAGGCAAGACATATAATTACCCAAACTCACTGTGGCAATTTTTATAAAGCTCAATTTGGATTCTCAGATGACCAAGCAATCCCACTTTTATCCAAAAGAACTGAAAGTCAAGATTCTGATTATTTTTTATCACTAATTAATGTTCATTGCAGCATTAGTCACAGGACCCACAGACAAAAGCAAGTATTCCTCAATAGATGAATGAGCAAAGCATTATGTGTGTATACATACAGTATATATAATACATGTTGTTTATGCCTATATATAAGATGTAGATAAATAAGCAAAGGATAAAAGAGAATCCATTATCCATAGTTTCAGTTATAATTATCCTAAGTGAAATAAGATAGACACAAATGATTAGATGAGGCAACTAAAAGAGGTGAATTAATAAAGACTGAACATTGACTAGCAGTTACCAGGGACTGGAGATAGGCAGAATATGAAATTGCATAGTGGCTATGGAGTTTCTATTTGGGGTAACAAAAAGTTTCTGAAGATGGTGGTGATGGCTACACAATACACATTTTACTGTTCGATGGATTAAGATATATTGTATGCATAAACTGCTTTGTTAAATGGCAACTCCTTTGTACAAGTTCTTAAAGATAATTTTTAAATCTCAAAAAAAAATTCTATGGTAGCTTTCTTAAAGCCTCTCAGAGATGATGACCTACTGGAACCTTTAAATGCTGCCTTACTCACTCACCAGGGGCGTTGTGCTGCTTCTGTTTGATTTCCTTGCAGCTTCTGGGCAATGAAGACCAGGAAGGATAGGTCTGGACCTCAGGATCAGTATTGCCCTCAGCTGGAGAATAAGCAGAGTTTTATTATCATTACTGGGTTTTCCCCTATCACTAATTCCAAGCTCACTCTCCTATGGGGGCAGAGCCTCACTGCTGGGTTGAAATCCCTGAGAATCCTATCTGACCCAGCCAGCACTGGATACAGGCTTGTGCTACCTTCCCCACAATGCTTTTTGCTGTGCTAGATTCTGGACATTCAACCAAACCAAACCTCTCCCTAAGAGCCTATCTCTGGAGAGAGTTGTTCACAAGTCAACAGGAAATCATCTGAGACAAATAATAGTAAGCTTAAGAGCACAAAAGAACCCTGAAGAATGGAGAAATAAGAATCCTAACTGGAGGCAGGGAGGTCTGGAATGGGCTGTCTACTTCACAGAAGGACTTCTAGCCAGGATGAGGTCCTAGATTATTCTTAGAGAATAAACATGATTTATTAATAGGAAAAAAAATGTGTCACAGTTTCACATCAAGACACAGGCCTGGAGACAAGGCATACATTAGCAATGCTCACTGCTACAGGTAAATCCTTCAAGAGACAGAAATAAGCACTCAACCTTCATTCAAGGCGGCCTCTGTTTATGGAGAGACCAGGATCCCAAGGCAATGCAACCTAATTCTAATGTTTTTGAACCCTAAAAATGACCTGGGAGAACTGGGCTCCTGGGAACTCACCTGCACTACACCATTCGGTGGCCACAATGAGAAACAGTAGGAAGCCCAACTGAGTCATCATCTAAAGAAAAGCAAAATGAAGGTCACTGCTATTTTTCTCTCTGTATCCCTGGCCTCACCTTAGTACAGCCTTGCAAAGACTCAAAGTCCCCTTGACTTTAATTCCACACATCTCTGGGACCTAAACCAGATCTGAGTGGAAATCGTCATTCCCCTAACTCACAGAGAGCAACTCCTTCCCACCACACCAGGTGTTGAAAGCTGTCTGTTCAGTGAAGGCTGGAAGGTTTCTCTGCTGAGGCTTCAGATGTAGGGTGAGGCTTTGATCCCTTTATGGAGTGAGCTCAGGCGACACAGACCAGGCTTCCAGCCCCACCTTCCCCTGGCACAATGCCCCGTGGAGGTGAGATTTCTGGTTATTACAGGAAAAGTTCCTTATACAATGATGATTTGTGAAATTAGCAGGTTGTAAAGGATAAATAATAAAGTTCATCTACTAAAATTGCTCCCAGATTTGGGAATTTTATGAATCACTGTTCTTTTGAAAAAGAAAAGAAATGAGAAGACTAGCAAGAATTGGTATTGATTCAAGTTTTTATGTCTTTCCTTCTGAGTAATAACTTTTTTAAAAAATTCAACATCTAAAACAAAGTAGGAGAGCTGAGAAGGTGGTTCAGTGGTAGAGTGCTTGCCTTGCATACATGAGGCCCTGGGTTCGATTCCTCAGCACCACATAAGCAGAAAAAGCTGAAAGTGGCTCTGTGGCTCAAGTGGTAGAGTGCTCACCTTAAGCTGAAGAGCTGAGGGACAGCACCCAGGCCCAGAGTTCAGGCCCCATGACCAACAACAACAAAAAGAACAAAGTAGGAAGGAAGCTGTTTCAGAATAATTATAAGCCTTTATCTTGAATAAGTTTAGTTTCAAACAAAGCTTCACTACTACTATATAAACTTTCTCATTTTGCCACAAACTAGTAAAACTTTGCTGTACACTACATTTGGTGCTGAGTGTAATCCTAGCTATTCAAGAGGCTGAGATCTAAGGATCATGGTTCAGAGCTAGCCTAGGCAGAAAAGCCTATGAGACTCATATCCAATTAATCAGCAGAAAGCTGAGAGTAGAGGGATGGCTCAAGTGGCAGAGGGCTAGTCTTGAGTGAAAAGGTAAGGGACAGTACCCAGGTCCTGAGTTCAAGCCCTGGTACAAACATAAAAAATAAAAATTAAAACTTAAAAGCAAAAGAAGTAGACATCTCACAGAAGTAGACAATTGATAAATAAAAGAAGTAGACAAGTATTAGAATATTGCTTTGGATAGATTTAAATTTATATCAACAGCTAGAGGCATGGTTAAAGAGGCAGAGCATTTGTATAGATTCATCATTATCATAATGATGTCAAAATAATTCAGATAATTCAAGGAAAAACTAAACCTGATGGTATGTGTGTGCACTAAGAGAGAAACATGTGGAAGAAAGCCCCCTCCCTCCTGGGATACCTCAGACAGACCAGCTTCTACATCTCCACATAATTTGATTAATACTTAGTCTTCAAAAAATGAAACTTTCAGCTGAGCACCTGTAATCATGCCTGTAATCCTAGCTACCCAGTAGGCTAAGATCTGAGGGTTGCAGTTCAAAGCCAACCCCAACAAGGAAGTCTGTGAGATTCTTATGCCCAATTAACCAACAAAAAGCCAGAAGTAGAGCTGTGGCTCAAGTTACAGTGTTAAACCTTGAGCAAAAGAGAAGCTCAGGGACAATATCCAGACCCTGAGTTCAAGCCCAAGGGCAGCGCGCGCGCACGCACACACACACACTAAAGAAAAGATACTAGTAATTTTAAAACACACACACACATATGGGGAATGATGGAACCCATGTATAGTGTTTAATGAATTACCAAAAGGCAAATACCTGTGTAATTACCATTCTTCTCAAGAAATAAAACCTTGTCATATCCAGGCGCTTCCCATATGTTCTTTACAAATATCAAGCACTTCTCATGTAATCATCAGTCTAGTACAAGTAATCATTAGACCAGTTTTAATGGAAGTAAGATCTTTGTACTTGACCATACTGTTAAAAATCTTATATGTACTCAAATAATGGTTCATGCCTGCAATTCTGGCTACTCAGGAGGCTGCGATCTGAAAGTTGTCATTTAAAGCCAACCCAGGCAAGAAAGTCTCAGAAACTTTTGTCTCCAGTTAACTACTGAAAAGCCGGAAGTGGAGCTGTAGATCAAGTGGTAGAGCTCTAGCCTTAAGCAAAAAAAAATTCTAGGACAACACTCAGACCCTGAGTTCAAGCCCCAGGACTAGCGCAACATACAAAAATCTCATACCGAGTCAAGCGGAAAAGGTCAGATAATGTGATGTTAGGAAAATGAACCCTTAGATATGTATTTTAATGTTTTTTTCTTTCATGCATGTGTTTCTAACACATTTATAAGATTATTTCTTTGTTGCTTTGTATGTCCCTCCCCACAGTATAACCCCTGCTTTCACTATGTTTGATGTCAGTATAACTTGTGGAGGAGATGGGGAAAAACAAGTCATTTAAGGATACAGGTGGACCTGTTGCAACAATGAGAAGTACAAATTGTCATGTCCAAAAAGAGCTTTACAACGTCGGTGCGGGGGGGGGGGTGGTGAGGGGAGGGGAGGAGGATTGGGACTTGGGGGGGGAGGGTGGAGGCTGGGAAGGGATGTGAAGGGTAAACAAAGGAGGAGGCTGCAATGCTTGGTAAGAAATGTACGCATTATCCTGCCCATGTAATTGTAACCCCTCTGTACAGTATGTTCACAAATAAAATAAAATAAAATTTTAAAAAATCTCATACATGTATAAAATGCCTTGGTGTCCAGTAGTGCAAGGCCTCTTGCTTATTCCTCCAAAATGAAACAAACATAAGAAAAATTCAATGAAACCTTCTCATAGCTCTAGGGAAAAATATTTCCTTGTCATGCACAATTTCTAAGGAATGCCTATATTCCCTGGCTCATAGCCCCTTCTTCAATTCTCAAAACAAATAAATAGCCAGACACCAATGGCTCACACCTATAATCTAAACTACTCAGGAGACTGGGACCTTAGAATCACAGTTTGAAGCAAGACTGAGTAAAAAAATCCCTGAGACTCTTATCACCAATTAACAGCCAAAAAGCTGTGGAGCTGTGGCTCTTGTGGTAGATGGCTAGCCTTGGGCCAAAAATGCTCAGGGACAGCACCTAAGCCTCGAGTTCAAGCCCCAAGATCATAACACATACATATATAGAATATATGTTTATATATATATATATGTACATTTAATTCTGCTTCCATCTTCACATCTCCTTTTCTCCTTTTAAAGGACTCATGTGATTATACTGGGTCTATCATTGGATTTTCATTATTGGAATTAGGAACTAAAAGTTATTTTCTCAAGGGAGAAAGAATTCGAGGAGACTTAAGCAGAATAGCTAATGCAAAGCCAAGCCAAAATTCAGTCTCCAGATGAGAGAATGAGGAAGGCTTACAAAAAGAGTACTTCTCTGAGAGTCCCCAAAACAAAAGTTCTGCAGATATGGAGATATTCAGTACTGGAACACTGAGTTTATGTGCCATCAACTTACATGTCAAACAGGAAAGTTCTTGGCCTTGGATGATCAGACTAGGGTTGTCATTTTCCACAGCCTACAGAGACTGTGGGTCAGAAAAATGTTCATGCGGGCTGGGAAGGTGGCACAGTGGTAGAGTGCTTGCCTTGCATGCATGAAGCCCTGGGTTTGATTCCTCAGCACCACTTAAGTAAAAAACCCGGAAGCAGCACTGTGGCTCAAAGTTGTAGAGTGCTAGCTTTGAGCTGAAGAGCTGAGGGACAGCGCTGAGGCCCTGTGTTCAGACCCCACAACAGACAAGAAAGAAAGAAAGAAAGAAAGAAAGAAAGGGAGGGAGGGAGAGAGAAAGAGAGAGAGGGAGGGAGGGAGGGAAGGAGGAAGGAAGGAAGGAAGGAAGGAAGGAAGGAAGGAACAAAGGAAGGAACGAAGGGAGGGAGGGAGGGAAGGAGGAACAAATCAACGAACGAACAAAGGAAAGAACGAAGGAAGGAAGGAAGGAAGGAAGGAAGGAACAAAGGAAGGAACGAAGGAAAGAAAGAAAGATCTTCATGCATGTTGCAAATTAGTCCATTAATGCCAGTAGTACACTATATAACTCCTCAAGATCCAAGCCATCATTTGTAGCCATCAGGTTTCCTAATTGACTACCCAATTCAGAAATCATTCTTCCTTCAAAAAGTGTGGAACTTAATAATTGTATAAGCGGGGAAGGCTGTACATCTCTTTCTTCAGATACGACTTCCTGCTAAGCATGGGCATTATCTACTCATGTTTTGAGTCCAGCTTTTCCTCTTACTGGCATTAGGGGTGTTAGCTAAGACCAAGGTGGCAGAATAGAATGATGTGGCAGCCTGCTTTAGAGGTCCCAGCTGTTGATGTGTTTGTCTTGTGGTATTGGCTGAAAGTCCTTGCATACTTAGTCACCTCCATTACAAGAAGAGGATCCCCTTGCCTGTGACTGAGAGCTGCAGTAATCTTCTGTGGAGATTGCACACAACCCTGTTTCTTTAGGTGTCCCTGCATATTCTCCAGATGCTTTTATTTTTTAGTCAAGGTGCCTAGTCATCTTTCCATGGCAAATGGTGGGACTGAATAAATAACCTGTGAGGGTACTCTGGGGGTTACTATTTTCCATTCCTATTAAAGATGATTTGGTACCTAGGACTCAGTAGCTAAAAGAATACCAAAGAGGGGCTGGGAAGGTGGCTCAGTGGTAGAGCGCTTGCCTTGCATGCCTAAGGCCCTGGGTTCAATTCCTCAGCACCACATAAGAAAAAAGAAAAAAGCTGGAAGTGGCACTGTGGCTCAAGTGGTAGAGAGCTAGCCTTGAGCTGAAGAGCTGAGGGACAGCACCCAGGCCCAGAGTTCAGGCCCCCCTACCAGACCCCCCCCCAAAAAAAGAATACCAAAGAAAGAGTTAGGAATGTGGCTTAGAGGTAGAGTGCTTGCCTCACATGC